CAACAATCACAAGGGAGTTGCCTAATTATGCTTGGGTGGCAGCGTGAGTTCAGGGCTTTTTACTGCTTGCTTCATCTTCTCCAAAATCCTGAGTTTATTTATTTCTACTCTACTGTACAAGCACCAGTCAAGAATTAGGCCAGGCATCAACACATGTTTTTTTTGCAACCCCAAAATTTATCTTACTGGAACTGAATGAATAGGAATCTCATTACATTACAGTTAGAATATAATAAGCTACGAAACGACAACTCTTTGCATGAGCTATATTGTAGATCAAGTCAAAATACCTAATATTTCAATATGTCAAGCAATATTCTAAATGATTGTTGGAATACCTGTCAATAAATAAACATTCTCTAATATAACGTAGCTTATTCTCCTTATTTAGAAATGTAAAAACTCTTTAGTTTACTTTTTTGATGTGTTCAACTATGTCAACCTAGGTAAGAATGCTTTTCAGCATTCTCATGTATTGTTTTCGTGTTTTTTTTTTTTGTGACTCCGCCTTCCTTAAATTTTTGTGGATTTAACTTGCTCTGCTCCCCTCAGGTGATTTTATCAAGAAATTACAACTGTTTAGGAGAATTTCTTTTGTGTTACTTTTTGAGATATTCAGCTTTTTCTGCATTTTTTCTGCATTGCAGTCAATTTTAATTTCTTTCAAATTCTTCAAAAAATTTTGCTTTTTCAAACTTCAACAACTGCTGCATATGTTCAGCTACAAACACTATTCAACTTTTAAAATGATTTGAATTACCTAATATTGTTGAAGTCAGCTTCCGGATATATTTTACAGTTTGACTAAGATAGTGATTTATGTTTTATGTAAACTTTTTCCGCTTTTCAGTTTAATAGCGGAAGTCGGTGACATAATGTCCATGCATCTGGATTAGAGCAAATCAGAGAGGACAAACACACTTTTTTCGATTGCTTAAATTTTCTTATCTTTAGACAAATTATGTATCTAAATGTAGGATTTTTTGGTTGGAATCATAACATGGGACTGCTGTTTTGGGTACTGAAGAGACATCTGTTGTAAACATCTGTAGTAAGCTGAAAAAGCTCCAGACTTAAACGTTCCAAAATGACCACAATATTTCTATAATTGTTAGGGCCACATACATTTCTCTGTAAAATGTAAATTGCCAATTATTGTTCACCGAAACCTGGTAATAATAATTACTGTCCGAAAATTATTTTTGTATCTATTATACTTTTTTAAGTTATTTATCTAATTGGAGATGAAGTTTAGCCCATTTTACTTCACATTTCTGCTGGATTTAATTTTACATAGTGCTGTCTTTTGTGATATAAATCAAATCTGTCCTAATGTGTTGCTTCCCTATCTGTTCTAAAAAAACAAAACTAAAAAAACAGTCCATCTTTTTCCTGTATCCTCAATTTATTGAACTGTTACATGCCATTTTAACTTAAAATTACACATACTATGTTCTTCCACTAAATGTTGCTATAATTCAGTCTTTCCAGTTTCTTGAGCATCTTCTGGTCCTTTCATCATGCAGATTAGGAAAAGCTGCTTTTCTGAAACACATTTTTCTGGTTAGAAATTAGCTTTTTACAACTTCAAATGTAAATCGGTTCTGGCCATTTTTCAGGTATTTTGATTGCATTTATAATTGGCTGAAAGTTTGCTCTCAATCGCTAAAAATAAATTCCTTTTTTTCTTGACAGTATAATGGGACTTCATCCCAATTAACATCTAATTGAAAGAACAACAATGGTTAAAATATCCTCACCAGAATATCGGTAGGAGTGTTTTGCTGGTGTGACAGAATCTGAGAAGCGTTGCCTGAACAAGGTGCTTGATTTAAATGTTTTTTGGGTCAACATAGATTTGTATCTATCCTTTTGCATTTAAATAAGTTAAATATGTTTTACTGACTTTGGAAAATAACTTCTTTCTTAAGGATGTGGGGGCTTGTTTTTGCCATAAGCTCTAAGTAGCCTTCCTCAAGGTAAGAGTTTGAACAGCCTCTGACCTGAGTGAATGGGGTCAGCAGAGATGCTAGCAGCCCCTTTTTAGCTCTAGTCTTTTACTGGTCTCAGATGAAGGTAAGATCAGTACATCGAGTACAAGTCATTCTCTCTTTGCAGTTTGGACCTGTGCTGTTTATGGATGATCCCAGCCACAGAGATAGGTGTGCACAAATCAGACTGAGTACTGGCAGATTCCCTTGGAAGGATGTACTTCCTGAGTTACTGCAGGAAATATAGGTAAAGTCTATGTGTGAGGACCACCTTAGGTAACTAGAGGGGTTGTTTCATTGGAACTGTGGAGTTAGTCTGCAGTCAACAGGGAGCTGTTGAGGATGATTAGGGATAGGAAATGTTAGTGATGTTCTCCGGAAGAGCACCATCATATCCACTCTTGTTAGGGTGTTTGGCATAAGGTGGCTCTGAGCACATTGTTGGACAAGCCACTTCACCTCCTGCCTGTGTAGAGATTTGTTTTGTATTGTTTTTTTGGTCTGACAAATGACTGTGGTGTCATTTGCAAGCTTCTGGAGTTTTGCAGACAGGGACACTGAGGACAGAAAAGATTTAAAGTAAGGGATGAAAGGAATAGTTGAGGAAAATATTGAAAAGAGATATGAAAGGAAAGGAGGGAGGGAGGAGAAAAGTAAAAAAAATATATGGATAGGATTCATGGAAGGAAGGAAGTAATGAAGGAAAGATAGAATGAAGAAAGTAACAATAGCAGTCAATAAGAATATTTTAAATTGAATTCCACACTTTTTCACATTGTGCATAAACCTTAAATAGCTTTTTGTTCCAATATTTCTCTGTCATCTGAGAGATGAGTCTTAAATAAACCAATAGTTTATTTCACATCGCAGTTGGCAGTCTTTACCTTCTCTGTTATGGGATTTCTGTTCTTGAAAGATGACAGTTAAAAAGTGGTTTTAAACTTTGAATTCTTCCTCATTTTTTTACTCCTTTCCTCCCTCAGAATAAAGTCAGGTGTCATCAATTGATAAAAGACTGCAAACCATTTTCATTAGACCTCTGAGAGATGATAAACTCTTGATAAGACATACAGTACATTTTAATCAGTATATTTTCAACATTTTGATCACTCATTTCCCTTATCATAAATCATCCCTTCAATCTGTCGTACAGGTTGCACGTAGAGTAAAATTGTTGTAAGCTTCTTAAGTAAGCAGACTTTAGTGTGATCAATGATACGTTTAGTCCTTAGTTACTTTAATTAGCAATTCCTGGTGGGGTTTTTCTTTTTCTGTAATTTGTTGTTGAAGTGTAACTATTTTTAGTTTATGTCAAATAAATCTTGGTCCAAAGAAATATACTGAAATCTTTTTATTTTCTTTCTTTACAAGATAGAATAAGAACGCTCAGTGATAGAGGGAATGCATCCTTCAGTCTTCTGGTCATGCGACAGATTTTTTATTTACATTAATAAAGTCTACCTGAGTACTGTTACGCTGCAGCCTGCACAACCTGTTCTTCCTGCTCCTAACTTTTACTGACTTTGCATACATTCCCTTAGTTAAAAAAAATAAAACAAAAAAATCCAATTCGTAAGAAAACCTAAGTAGGTAAAAAACACATCACAAAAGTTTTATACATGTCTCACACCTTCATGGCCATCACTTTTACTAAGGCGGTGATGTGTATTGTGATAGCCAGTTTGTGCTTTTAGCTCTGCATTACGGTCAAGATTTCAGCTTTTTAGCCAATGTTTTTCATGATTGAAATTCTCAGTCAACCATCAATCTGCATTATAGACTGATTTCCTCTTGTCTGGTGGGGGCTAACTAAAACAGATTGAGACAGCTCTAGCTCGCTGCATCACTAATGGCTGGCAATGAAAGACGTCTCTGTGCAGTTGACCCGTATGTGGAACAGGATCACGTCGCAGCTCAGAGCGATGAAGAGAGCACAGCTCAATACAGGGAGTCTCTTCGGCATCAGTCACCAGTCAACAGCATCCTCATCTTATTGACTAAATGTTGCCCAGAAATAGAATCTAATCACAGGGTTTGGACAGGCTCTAGTTCTTCTAATGGTTTACCATTAGTTCCCTGGAACAAAGCCCAATGGTGTAAAGGGAAATATAACAATAGATTCTGAAGCTCTGTATTGCATGGCAATAATGGGCTCTCAATTATTGCCACAGTGCTGGCATATTTGCAGAGATCAGAAGACCTTTGCAGCAAAAAAAAAAAAAAAAAAAAAAATGATTACCTGCTCACATCTGCTTTGAATCCTGCTCATTATATTCCATCTTACCGGTCTCGATTAACCTGTAAAGGCCACGGACAGCAGAAGCTAAAAATCTTTGGTAACAGACATTTCCCTCCGTTCTGCTATTGTTGAATGGATGATACAAGAGGAGCAGCCTGTAAGTGAAACAATTACCCAAGCATTTTTGCAAGCGGGGCCGAACAGAGTCATTACTTGTATGGCATAATTGACAGTGAACACAGGCAATCTTGTTAATTGATTACCCAGACCTCTGGTAATGGAAAATGCAAAGCCTCATTGTATCAGCAGCCTCTGCCCCTCTTACGATACTGCACAGGAGGGAGCATACAGACAATCTCTAATGATCCTACACACCCCACCTCTCATAGACCCCCCACCTCTCAAGGAATATATATATATATATATATATATATATATATATATATATATATATATATATATATATATATATATATATATATATATATATATATATGTGTGTGTGTGTGTGTGTGTGTGTGTGTTGGTTTAGGGTGGTCTAGGATATATTTAGAGAAAGAGAGGGAGATTTTAGAGTCCTATGTATGCCACACCACATATCAGAAACAATTTACACCAGTGGGAAAGATATGTAATATGATTATGGTAAGTTTATGCCTCAGATCAGGCATAGATGAGGACGAGGGAGTGTGCCCCCTCTCCTCTGTCATACAGGATTCAGCTTCCAGCTCCTCTGATGCATCGTTTGCATCAGTACTTGGGAACGCGCTACTGCACTTCCCAACAGTGCGTCCGCAGACTCCTCTTCATCAGGTGAAGACAAGAGAGGGGAAAATCGCTCCTGATTAATCATATATATATATATAAAAAAATCTTATTCTAAAAAAACCCCCTCTAAAGTCGGAATCAATGTATGATGGAGACACGTTGCTGTTTTTTACTGTTTTTTTTCTCTGAGTGGATATATCTGTTCTTATTAACTACTATCTTGGGCGGAACAAAGGCGGAGGTAAGGTGTATTCCCCGGTGCCAGCTGCCGCTTGTTGCGGCAACGCCAAGGGAAAGAAGGGGTCTGGATCAGACCTATTTTGACGCAGCTCCCGGTGAAGAATATTACGGCTTTGGTGAGGAGTCGTTTAGCGCCAGTGGAGACGAAAAGGAAGTCGCCGCTGAATTAACAGTGAGCGCAGAAAGTTCATTCAAAGTACAGCCGCGGCCAGAGGAGAATGAGACAAGTGGTCTGCAGAGAGACGGCGACCGTCAAAAACTTTCCCACCCTTCTCTGAGTCCCTCTGGTCCCAATAACGCAAGTGAAGAGAGAGATATTATATTAAACTTGACTGCGTTTGGTCGGAGAGGACGCAGGAGCGCAGAAACCTGGTCTGGATTCAGAAGCCAGGGTATAGATGACACCTCGGTATCAGACCAAGGGGACTTTCAGCTCACAAGTTCAACATTTGCACTGGCCGGGGACACAGCTCACAACCAGGCGATGGTGCACTGGTCCGGACAAAACAGCAGCGTAAGTACTGCTTACCACATTTTACGCACGGATGTCTTTTAGCGCAATGGGGTCAGCGCCTACGAACACATCTGTAAAATACATGCCTTCATATGAAGCTTTTATTCTGTGCGAAATTTACGTGATAAGAATTAAAACTAAGAATGCTGAAAGAAAGCCGATTGGGAGCTATCATTTAAGTGAGTCTGCGCCAACCTCCCGTCTCTCACAGGAAGAAAACTTATTAATGCTGTGGTTGAATTCTCCTTTTCAAGCAGCAGAAATGATGAACACGTACAGACTAAAGAATATGGTAATATTTAGATGGTCCGATTTACAAAAAAGAGGAAGAACGTTTCTCTTGAGAAGTTATGGAATTTTTTTCCACTTTTACAATCGTTTTCTGTTTTCCTTCTTTTTAGTTTTTTTGTTTTGTTAATTTGATCAAAAAGAAGAGAGTAAATATATTTTATGATGTGTGAAAAGAAAATGCAAAAAAACTGTCTGTTTTTCTTTGGTTTGAAGCTTTTACCTAACTTCTGCCCAAAAAAGAAAAAAAAAAAGAAAAAGAAAGAAAGATAACCCTGAACAAACTTTAAATTTACACACTAAAAAAAAATATATTGCAACCGCTTTTGGCATTTACTTAAGCATATTTAGTTACTTTAACAGAATCGTTTTATGTCCTGCCCAGCTAAAATGAGAAAATTGTGTTACAGTAACTAAATATGATTAAGTAAATGCCAAAAACGGTTGCATTATATTTTTCAGTGCATATTATGAAACATTGCGATTTGGCTACTAATTTTTTCCCATTAGATCTTTCTTTTTTTCCCTCCTCAGCGTCATGATAACTCCATCACGTTCTGTGAGGTTTATGAGCCTGATCAAATAATCTATAAAAGGTGTTGACATTTACAACAATGAGCATTCACCCAGTTGCAAATAGGATTAGTGACTAAATAATGCATGCAAACAATCCTGTGTAGCTGTGAAGCTTTCAGCAATCAAAATTATAACCACTATCATGGTGTTATATATGTGCAATCTCAAAATAATAATAATAATAATAAAGAATTTTTGATTGTGGTAAATAAAATCAAAATACATAAAAGTGAGCAATGGATGTTTTTCCATGAATTTTTCCCCGTTGCAAACCACTTCTTCTGCTCTCCATACAGCTGATACTCCAACTCAATGTCCCACACAAAAACATCCAAACCTATTGTCTAAAATAAAATAAAATAAAAATAAAATGAAATGCCGGATAAAACATTGATTTCATAAACAATTCAGCCTAGGACTGAACATTTTTTTGTAATTCTTTTTTGTAGATGACCAAATACTGTTTAGATGAATTCAAAGTAAATAAGGAAAAATGAAATAGCCATTTGGTGCTTATATTTATCAATATTTCTATTGTATCAGTCACGATTTTTGACAGTATCCACTCTGTTTGCTGAAAGTAAAAATCCCAACAATATCAGGATAAGAAATAAGCAACAAGATAATTTCTTCAGATGTAAAAAAGTAATGATGCACACAATCTTCTGATCTTTAACAAGGATGGTATACAACACACTGTTTTCTATTTTGCTCTGCAAATTTTTTCCCAGGTGTTTGTCTCACCCACCAGGTTGTGACATCTTGTGTGGTGTGTCATTTCGCTCACAGTCACACAAAGCAAACATTTCAAGTGAAACCACAAGTTGGATACATATAAATATCTTGCTGCAAATGTTCACAGAGGTTGCGTACTTCCACTTTTCACTATATGCTCCTGTGGTCTTAAAGCACAATCAACCCTCAGAGGAGCAGATGAGTCAGAGTGGAAGCACTTAAAACAACAGGGGATATTCCACGTCACACAGTCTGTCTCCATTTGGAGTCTCATGTACGTGCAAGCAAGGAATATCAAAATCTATTTGGGAAAATAACAAAGACATCTCCTGTTTAGCTAAAATTCAGCTTACCAGAAACATGATTTTTACTCAAGAGGTTCTATTTGAATTCATTTTAAACCATCAACAGAACGGAGATTGCTATGAGACCAGTTAGTGTCTCATTGTCTGGCCTATTTAGGATGAAGGAATGGCCTCAGTTGAGTGCCTTCATATCTGATACTCCTTTGGGGCTTATATTTAATTTCTGTTAAGCAAATTTAATTTCAAAACCACTGCCAGGAAACAAACATTAAGATTAGTATCTGAGGAAACAGGGATATAAATTTTTGCCTTGTTTGACCTTAAGAAAAATCACATCGAAATGGATCTTACTAACTTTGAATATGAAAAAGTGTGGGTCTGTAAATTTTTCAGTATAAATACAAAGGTGTGTGTGAGGTTTAAATATGATATTTATTATAAAAAAGTTGAGTGGAAAGGAAAAGCTGTGGTAAAAACATCCCAACCTTGAAGGGATTATAAAGCAAAGAAAAGTCAAGTTTTTCTGGATATTGTCAAGGTAAGATTGTGACTTGAGTCAGAGCTTAACAGCCACAAAAGAGAATAAGATACAGAAAAGTTATATAGTAAACTGAAGAAAAAAAAAATCTAGAAAAAGTATTGCATCAGTTCTGGTGAAAAGCCATTCCTGACCAAGACACAATTTTTAAAGCATTTTACCTGGATTATGTAGAAAAGGACAGGTCTGTTGGTCATTAGATAGAAGTCCTCTTTTTAGATAACTCCTTTTGATGCAGAGGATCAGTGGCTCTAGCATTGTCTGCAAGCTTAATTCTCACAGTATTTTCAAGATCAGAAACACAAGAATCCATCTTGTATCACTTGTCTTTAAATCCTTTGAGTCCGAACAAAAACGGGTCAGCCAATGACATTGCAGTATTACTGTTTATGACCGGATATATAGCTGTGATGAAAGCAAGACATGCCGAGCCCACAGTCAAACCAAAATAAACATGGCGGTAGAGGGGGACATACGTTTGCTGCTGTTATCACAATTTGGTCAGAATCTAAGATGTCATCTTTGAAAGAGGAACAGCAAGAGCCCATAAGTGCCATAGTGTCTTCTGCTATTTCATTTGTTATCTTGACTGGCAAAAAATAAACTTTAGTAGGTGGGCACTTGGTGTCACTTCACCCGATCAAATCAAAAAGTTTTGCTGAATGTCCCTTTTTCCCTGGACAGGTTTGATGGGAGCAGTCCCAGATTAATAATGTGTAGAGCTAAACCTGAATGCTAGACATGATCAGTTTAGCTTGTCAGGGTATGATGCTTCCACTCTAAGCTGAGTTAATTCCTTGTCCTATCATGGGAAAACCAGTGACTTAAGAACTACACTTTTACTGTTGAGTATGCGCAACATGCTGAGATACTTTAGAAAATTTATGTAAAGCATAGGCTGATCCCAGACCTGGAGGGAACAGTCCACCTTTTATTTTTTTTAGTTGAGAACTATGGTTGCATAAGCTGAGACAAATCCTCTGGAAAATATTGATATTAACCATATTAATGATGAACTTTATTTATATTTTCTTAAATCAACAAAAGAGCTTGGTGGTTTCTTGTTTCTGCAGCAGTTCAGTAACCAACCATCCAGTAGTTAAATAACAAACCTTAACCTCCACACCAAGACTTTAAAATTGCATTCAGGAGTATTTTTTTTTAACCTTTTTTTTTACTTTTACCAGCAAATGGGACAATTTTTGAACCTTTGAAAACTTTAAACTCAAGAAAACAAGTCATACAGGCACACATTTATTTCTAATAAAGTAGGTTGAAAATAAAAACAAGATAGATTTGTTCAAGGTCTTGGAGAGCTGGTGCCTTACCCCAGCTCATACTGGGCAAAACCAAGGACGATTTGATTGTCTCACCGGGCAAACAGAATGACACACATTTACAGAGACATTCCATTTAGGCTTTCTGATTCTCCTTGTTAGTCTCAGAAACTACAGAATAATGATGATAAAAAAAAATAGAACAGCTGAATAAAAAAAAAAAAAACAGAAGAAAGAATAACTCTATATTCTATGACCACATGCAACTTTAAAATTATTCCAAAATATGTATTCCAAGCTTCAGGAAAATCAAGCCTTTTTCTTCCGGAATTAGACCACATTACTTGAACTGAACCATTTGATATTCACAGATTGTTCAAAATAAAATTCAAACTTCAACTTCAAATGTCACAAACCTTGGATTGTTAGAACAAAAGTGAAAATGCTCCACTGCACTCTAAAGACCTTTGGAAATGAAATCCATTACATTTGCTCCTTTATAGAATGATGTGTCCTTGGACAATGATGAAAGATTAAGCGATATCTTTGAAGAGCAGAAGTTGATTGAAATGATGCATCTGCCATACATGTGCCCCACAGGAAAGCAACTCAAGGCCACGGCAGCATGAATAGTACACAAGAAGAATATTTTTATTTAGCATAAACAATCCTAAGCAATCGTCCCAACTTTTGCATTTCATGTCAGATCATTAACACATGATGAATTTCTTTAAATTGATAAAGTCCAAAGGCTGAAACCTTGGTATTGAAATCTAATGGACAATTGCCTGAATAACCGCTCTTGCTACTCAAAGTAATGACACGTATTTATGTTTTTCAAGGTTTTTCCATTGGATTTAAAAGCTGAAAAGGCTTTAGAATTGTGATGATAATTTTACAGGAGAGATGAAAAACCCAAGCATAAATCAACAAAGCTTGAGCAATAAATGCAAATGGTAATCTTGAAATGTTGAGGAAGCAAACTATCACAGCAAGGTAACAACATGTCAAGATTCAGATGTTGCATTCTACTAGTTTACATAAACTAAATATTTGACAAATTTTAATTTCACATTAATTATTTTGCTGCGATGGACCAGCGGCCTGTTCAGGGTGTACCCCACCTCTTGCCTGTAGACCGCTGAAGAGGCTCCAGCACCCCTTGCGACCCCGCTTGGGTTAAGTGTGACGGAAAAGGGGTAAATATTTTCCTAAGAGGTGATTACATTAATACAAAGACAGCACTACGAGGTTACTGCTATGTAATTACTCATCTAACAT